ATATATATGTGTGTGTGTATATATATATACACACATATATATACATATATATACATGTATATGTATATGTATATATTTATACGTATATATAAAACTTACTACACAGATAAAAAAATGGGGAACATATAACAAATGTTAATAGCAATTATGTTTGGGTTCATATCATAAGAGACTTCCATTTATACCTTATACATTATTTCTGTAACCTTTCTCTTTTTTGAAAGCATGTATTAATTTTATAATCAGAAAAAAATAGATGACACTTTAATGCAATTATAAAATGACTTTAGTATTTGTAACTTGAATGTTAAAGCTTAAGGAAAATAAATGTTCGCACTTACAATTCTAATAAACTGAATATTTATTTTAATAAAAACCTTTCCAAATGCTGTTAAAGTTCTAATGCTAGAGTTTGTTAACATTATCAGGGAAGTAAAGAAAACCTGCGGCACTGCACTAGCCAATATGTGAGCCCACATGCAGCTAGTTAAATTAATCTGAATTCAGTAAATGTAAAAATTCAGTTCTTGTCACACTAGCAATATTTCAAGTACTCACAGTCACATATGATCAGTACCTGACACATGCAGCTCCTGTGCTAGATGGCATGGATACAAAACATTCTCACTATCACAGTAAGTACTTCTGGATACCACTGCTCTAAAGTCAATTGCTACTTATCTGCTGTCAAGGTGATTATTCTTTTGTGTGTGTGTGTATGACAGGGTCTCATTCTGTCGCCCAGGCTGGAGTGTGGTGCCGTGAACACAGCTCATTGCAGCCTCGACCTCCTGGGCTCAAGCGATCCTCCGACCTCAATCTCCCGAAGCGCTGACATTACAGGTATGTGCCACTGTCCCCAGTCAAGGTGATTATTCTTACATAACATAAAATGAACGGTACTTATAATTCTTTCGTGAAAACAATACAATCCATGAGCATTAATGGAAAATGGGGCTGGGGGCAGTGACTCAGGTCTATAATCCCAGTACTTTGGGAGGCCAAGGAAGAAGGATCACTTAAACCCAGGAGTTCAAAGCCTGCCTGGGCAACATAGCAAGACCCCATCTCTACAAACAAAAATAAAAATTACCTGGGCATGGTGGCATGTGCCTGTAGTAACAGCTACTTCGAAGGCTGAGGGAGGAGGATTGCTTGAGCCCAGGAGTTCAAGGCTACAGTGAGCTATGACGGAGTCACTGCACACTAGCCTGGGCAACACGCTCATGCCTGTAACCCCAATACTTTGGAAGCCAAGGTAGGCAGGTCACTTGAGCTGAGGAATTCCAGGCCAGCCTGAGCAATGTGGTGAAACCTTGTCTCTACAAAAAATACAAAAAAAAATTAAAATTAGCCAGGTGTGGTGGCATGTGCCTGTAGTCCCAGCTATGGCAGGCTGAGATGGGAGGACTGATTGAGCTCAGGAGGTAGAGGCTGCAGTGAGCTGTGATCACGCCACTACACTCCAGCCTGGACAACAGAGAGAGACTCTGTCTCCAAAAAAAAAACTAAAATAAATGATTAAAAGGCCGGGTATGGTGGCTCAGCCTGTAATTCCAGCACCTTGGGAGGCCAAGACAGGCAGATTACTTGAGACCAAAAGTTCAAGATCAGCCTAGGAAACATGGTGAAACCCTGTCTCAATAAAAAATAAAAACTTTTAAATGAAAAAAGAAAAAAAAATGGGTTAATGAATTATTGGAGGTTGCTGCATTCTTTGACTTTAAAAAGGTCCATCAGCCAGGCACGGTAGCTCACATCTGTAATCCCAGCACTTTAAAAGGCCAAGATGGGTGGATCACTTGAGACCAGCCTGGCCAACATGGCAAAACCCTGTCTCTATGAATCAATACAAAAATTAGCTGGGTATGGTGGCACACGCCTGTAGTCCCAGTTACTCAGGAGGCTGAGGCAGAAGAATTGCTTGAACCTGCGGGACAGCGGTTGCAGTGAGCCTTGGCACTCCAGCCTGGACAACAGAGCGAGACTGTCTCCAAAAAAAAAAAAAAAAAAAAATCCATCCTTCCAGAACAAGTTTACAATTTTGTCCTAACAATGCCCCTCACTCAAAGTCATTGTACAACAAAAGCCTATGCCCTTGGTTCACACTGAGGCTTGATACAGATACTTTCTGACTTGATTTATACTGCTAAACTATTTTTCTTCATCAGAACAGTTATTTGAGTCAAGTTATATTATTTTAATCACTACCCTTTTTTTTATGATTTGCCTTAGGTTTAATAAAAATTAACTGTCGGGCCGGGCGCAGTGGCTCACGCCTGTAATCCCAGCACTTTGGGAGGCCGAGGCGGGTGGATCACGAGGTCAAGAGACCGAGACCACATGGTGAAACCCCATCTCTACTAAAAATAAAAAATTCAGCTGGGCATGGTGGCGTGTGCCTGTAACCCCAGCTACTCAGGAGGCTGAGGCAGGAGAATTGCCTGAACCCAGGAGGCGGAGGTTGCGGTGAGCCGAGATCGCGCCATTGCACTCCAGCCTGGGTAACAAGAGCGAAACTCCGTCTCAAAAAAAAGAAAAAAAAAAAAAAATTAACTGTCAAAAATAAAATCAAAATATTTCTTTTTACTTATCTGACACACATAATACAAATGTGTGTGATAGTACAAGTTTACATTTGAAACTAAAAGTACATAGCCAGGCGCGGTGGCTCAAGCCTGTAATCCCAGCACTTTGGGAGGCCGAGGCGGGTGGATCACGAGGTCAAGAGATCGAGACCATCCTGGTCAACACGGTGAAACCCCGTCTCTACTAAAAATACAAAAAAAAATTAGCTGGGCATGGTGGTGCGTGCCTGTAATCCCAGCTACTCAGGAGGCTGAGGCAGGAGAATTGCCTGAACCCAGGAGGCGGAGGTTGCGGTGAGCCGAGATCACGCCATTGCACTCCAGCCTGGCTAACAAGAGCGAAACTCCGTCCCAAAAAAAAAAAAAAAAGAAACTAAAAGTACAAATTAAATAATGGAAATATTCTGTTAATTTCTTTCATTTCCTTCCTGGTTTACAAAATCAAGGGCAAAAAGTTGAGAACATAATGGAAAAGGCTAAACTTTATTTCATATTCACTGATCCCATTGGTTGTCTCTAATTCTAACTGGAAACAATTCACAAATCCACTTCAAGCTACCAAAGCACAAAAATAAATCTAGGTCAGGCACGGTGGCTCACGCCTGTAATCTCAGCACTTTGGGAAGTGGAGGTAGGTGGATCATGAGGTCAGGAGTTCGAGACCAGCCTGACCAACATAGTGAAACCTCGTCTCTACTAAAAATACAAAAATTAGCCAGGTGTGGTGGCACACACCTGTAGTCCCAGCTACTTGGGAGGCTGAGGCAAGAGAATCGTTTGAACCCAGGGGGCAGAGGTTGCAGTGAGCCGAGACCATGCCATTGCACTCCAGCCTGGGTGACAGAGGGAAAAGAAATCTAATACATACTGAAGTCTAGATGCTTTATTCCATCAATCACCAATGCATGGTAAAGTATAAAATTAAGGTCCCGGTACTCAATCAAGATAAGGCTGTATAATTCCATCTTTCCTCATTTGGGAGATTGGTACTGATAAACCATAAAAAAGCCCATAGCTATAGAACCGCACAGAGAACATAGTTACTAAACGCTGTAATCAGTTACATTATACCATACACATGCAAAAGTGACTTCAAATATAACTCATATCTACTGAGTCTCACCAATTTCCCCATCTTGTCCAGGTTTAGGAATGCTAATAGACGTTTTGGTCTCCATTTCTATTTTCTTCCTAGTGTCCCCTCTCTTTCCAACTATATGCCTGTATAAAGAAAAGGTAATTAAAAGGATATTAACTCAAAATGTACCAAAATTAAGAATCTCATCATGTTTAAATCCTTTGTGACTAGAGATATTCCCTTACGGAAAAGTGGTTCAAAAGCCCAATATTTGTGGAAGAAATTACAAGTCATCTAGCTTTAGAACATGCCGCATTAAAGTCATTGGCAAAAATGAGTTTTTGGCCCTATAGCCAATTCGATGCATAGAAAAACCATGCCCAACACCCATTTGCTTCTCAAAATTAGATTCAAAATCTAGGTCTGCAATTAAGTAAAAGAAAAGCTGGCCAGCAGGCACAGTGGCTCATGCCTGTAATCTCTGCTACTCAAGAGGCTGAGGTGGGAGGACTGCTTAAGACCAGGAGTTTGAGGCCAGCCTAGGCAAAAGAGTAAGACCCCATCTCTAAAAAAATATTTTAGGCCAGCCTCAGTGGTTCACACCTCTAATCCCAGCACTCTGAAAGGCCAAGGTGGGAAGATCGCCTGAAGTCAGGAGTTCGAGACCAGCCTGGCCAACATGGTGAAACCCCATCTCTACTAAAATACAAAACTTAACCAGGCGTGACGCCAGGGCACCTGTAATCCCAACTACTCAGGAGGCTGAAGCAGGAGAATCACTTGAACCCAGAGGCAGGGGTCACAGTGAGCTGAGATCATACCACTGTATTCCAGCCTGGGCAACAAGAATGAGACTCCATATCAAAAAAAAAATTTTTAATAGAAAAATTAGAACATCTGAGGACTCATGACAACAGAAAGCTATAGCCAACTCTCGACTACCCCATGAAGACAGGACATGAGCTCACAATCCCCATCACTCCCGACAGTCTTTCATCTACCCCACTTCAATCACTTATTGACTCATTTACATTACTCTCCTAGGCTTTCAAGTGTAAATAATTGTAACAATCCAAAGTTATCTTCTGGAACCCCCAGTCATTTGCTATGTTCAAATGAATGAGACTACTGAATCCCAAGAGAGAAGTTGCAGAGACTAAAGCAGTTAAGAGGTGGTCACAGGGCTACAGAGTTAAGAGAAAACTCATCATCAACGTTATTTCAACTTCTATGATTTCAATTACAGTACCCAATACTATGGATAACTATGTCTAAAATTGCTCATTTGTTTTTTCATGGGATAACCAAGCCCAATTACTTCCATTAAAATCTATTATAGTAAGCCAGTTTTTTAAAGTAAGATGATTAGAAGATTGGAAGTCTGTAGTTTCCAAGTGGTTTCCCATTGTATTGGGCTGGAGATTGTAGGGCACCAACTCTGAGGCCTTTGTCTTCACACCTTACCAATTAGAAGTGCTTTCTATCAGGCTCCAGTGTGCTACTATGTGGCTAGTGAACAAGCCTATAACAAAACGCAGTGGCTCAAAGTGCTATTAATAATCTAGGCTTCAGCACCTTAGAAAGCAAAGTGATTGAGGTTTAAAAGGCTTTAGAATCAAACAAGCCTTGAGCAACTCATATAACCACTGTAAGCCTACTTCTTCACATATAAAAATGAAGTGAGAGGCTGATGCAGAAGGATCCCTTGAGCCCAAGAGTTCAAAGCTATGATGAGCTATGATCACACCACAGCACTCTGGCCTAGGTGACAAAAAGAGATCCTGTCTCTAAAAAAATAAAAACAGGGCTGGCTGCAGTAGCTCATGCCTGTAATCCCAGCACTTTGGGAGGCCAAGGCGGGCAGATCATGAGGTCAGGAGATCGAGACCATCCTGGGCAACATGGTGAAACCCCATCTCTACTAAAAATACAAAAATTAGCTGGGTGTGGTGGCACATGCCTGTAATCCCAGCTATCGGGAGGCTGAGGCAGGAGAATCACTTGAACCCAGGAGGTGGAGGTTGCAGTGAGCCAAGATCGCACCACTGCACTCCAGCCTGGGCAACAGAGCAAGTCTCTGTCTTAAAAAAATAAAATAATAAAAAATTAATTAAATAAAGAAATAAAAATAGGCTGGCTGCAGTGGCTCATACCTGTAATCCCAACACTTTGAGAGGCTGAGGTGGGCGGATCACTTGAGGTCAGGAGTTCAAGACCAGCCTGGCCAACATGGCAAAACCACAACTCTACTAAAAATACAAAAATTAGAGAGGCCAGGCAAGGTGGCTCAAGGCCAGGCACAGTGGCTCACGCCTGTAATTCAAGCACTTTGGGAGGCCAAGGCAGACAGATCATCTGAAGTCAGGAGATAGAAAGCAGCCTGGCCAACATGGTAAAACCCTGTCTCCACTAAATACAAAAATTAGCCAGACGTGATGGCAAGTACATGTAATCCCAGCTACTAGGGAGGCTGAGGCAGGTGAATCATTTGAACTCAGGAGGGAAAGGTTGCAGTGAGCCAAGATCATGGCACTGTACTCCAGCTTAGGTGACAAGAGTGAAACTCTGTCTCAAAAAAAAAGAAAAATTAGTGGGGTATGGTGGCGGGCACTGGTAATCCCAGCTACTCGGGAGGCTGAGCAGGAGAATTGCTTGAACCTGGGAGACAGAGGCTGCAGTGAGTAGAGATCACACCATTGCACTCCAGCCTGGGCATCAGAGGGAGATTCCATCTCAATAAATTAAATAACTAAATAAAATTAAATTAAATTTGGCTGGGTGCAGTGGCTCACGCCTAGCACTTTGTAATCCCAGCACTTTGGAAGGCCAAGGCAGGTGGATCACCTGAGGTCATGCATTCAAGACCAGCCTGACCAACACGGTGAAACCCCGTCTCTACTAAAAATACAAAAATTAGCTGGGCGTGGTGCTGCATGCCTGTAAATCCCAGCTACTTAGGAGACTTAGGCAGGAGAATGCCTTGAACCCAAGAGATGGAGGTTGCCATGAGCCAAGATCGTGCCATTGCCTAGGCAACAAGAGTGAAACTCAGTCTCAAAAAATATAACAAATAAATAAATAAATAATAAAAATAAAATTTGAAATTAAAAAAGAGTGAATAATACCTATTTGTCAAAAGGTTGTCATAAGGATTAAATGTGATCATATATGAAAGACCTTCCCAATGAGTGACACACAGCTCCACACAGGCCATGCTGTACGGCAGATGCCCCTAACAGTGATAAGTTAAGGATACCAGGAGAAGGATCCTGTATGGCAGACACAGCTGACAGCAATAACTTAAGCCTACCTGAGAATCACCCCATTATCTAAGAAGAATGTGTGTTCAGATTTCCAAGCTACAGAATCTGGCTTGGATTCATTCCAACCCAAAGCTTCATTCCTTTATCTATGAGCAATATCTGAATCCCCTGGCCCATTTATGGAACCCACACCATACAGGGGATTGAGTCCCTTTCTTTTGGGTTAAATAAAGGTTGCCAGGTGATGGCTGCTAGAGGCAGGGTGCTAAGTGGAAATGTTATATAAACTATATGCTTTTTACAAGCAGTTGATGTTTTGTCAAGCCCACCACCACCGCACCGCCCTTTATGTAAGTCCACTTGATAAAATGCTGTGTCTCATTTGCTGGCTCTGGGTCTCTTCCCCAGCCTCTCTAACATAGTGCCATCCCTAACAAAGTCAACAGGTATGTGGCATGACACATGCTGTCTTCATTAAACCCATACTGGCATGTTTCCAGTTAAAAGTACAGCTGGACTCGAAAGAGGTTTACATGGAAAATCTAAAATATTCACTATAGGTCAGGCACAGTGGTTCATGCCTGTAATCACAGCACTTTTGGAGGCCGAGGGAGGCAGATCACTTGAGGCCAGGAGTTCAAAGACCAGCCTGGCCGACGTGGCAAAACCCTGTCTCTAACAAAAACACAAAAAATTAGCTGGGCGTGGTGGCACATGCCTGTAGTCCCAGCTACTCGGGAGGCTGAAGCAAGAGAATCGCCTGAACCGGAGAGACAGAGGTTGCAGTGAGCTGAGATCGCATCACTGCATTCCAGCCTGGATGACAAAACAGAAGCCCTGTCTTTAAAAAATAATAATATTTAAAAGTAACATGGGATATGGTGGCTGGGCATAGCATCTTATGCCAATACTTTGGGAGACCAAGGTAGGAGGATAACTTGAATCCAGGAGTTCAAGATCAGCCAGGGAAACATAGTAAGAACCACATCTCTACAAGTAATTTAAAAAATCAGGCAGTCTTGGTGGTGTGTGCCAGTCCCAGCTACTTGGGAGGCTGAGGTGGGAGGACTGCTTTAGCCTGGGCAGTCGAGGCTGCAGTGAGCCGAGATCGTGCAACTGCACTCTAGCCTCACAACAGAATAAGACCCTGTCTCAAAAATACAATAATTAAAAAAAAAAAAAAGGTGATGTGGTTTGGATCTGTATCCCTGCCAAGTCTCATGTTGAAATGTAATCCTCAGTGTTGGAAGTAGGGCCTGGTGGCAGGTGTTTGGATCATGGGGGTGGATCCCTCATGATGGCTGCGCACCATCTCCTTGATCAATGAGTGAGCTCACACAAGATCTGGTTGTTTAAAAGTGTGTGGCACCTCACTTCCCATCGTTTTTGCTCCTGCTTTCACCATGTGACATGCCTGCTCCCACTTCAGCTTCTGCCAAGAGTAAAAGGTCCCTGAGGCCTCCCCAGATGCCAGTGCCATGCCGGTACTATCTGTAGAGCCATGAGCCAATAAAACCTCTTTTCTTTATAAATTACCCAGCCTCAGATATTTCTTCATAGCAATGAAAGAATGGCCTAACACAAGAGGCAAAATCAGCTTATCCATACATGTAGAACAATGGAATTATTCTGTAATCAGTCCTTTGAAATTTTAGGACATAAAACTACACTACTTTATCATTAGTGATCAAGCATTGCAATAAGTATAGATGACCAAAGAGTCCATTTCCCACTGAGTTTCCTGGAAGTGTATCCCCATGACTCACTTATAGAGCAAGCTAGGGGCCCTCACGGTAGACCGGAATCCTTGTGGGGTCTGCTCCACCTCATAGGCATCACACGGCTCATCAGCGCACTCCATGGAGCCTGCACAGAAACCACGACATATCACTCAGAAAAAGTGTTGCTCTGTGGACAACAGTTTTCACCTTAGCTGTCAACCACTGTTGGGGTTTTTAAATAGCAATACACAGGCCTAAAGAACAGCCAGACACTGTACATTGCATGATACTGCTCTGATACTCCTTCTGACCTGATCTTATAAGCAATAAACCATAAAAAACATATAATGACTATTTTAAATCTTTCAGTCTTGGAAGCCTCAGAAGGTAGCATATGCATACAGTAGCTCCCCCTCATCTGTGGTTTCACTTTCTGAGGTTTCAGTTATCTGCAGTTAACTGCTGTCCAAAACTATTACTACAGTAAGATACTGAGCATGACACAGAGAGACCACATTTGCATTACTTTTATTACAATGTATTGTTATAATTGTTCTATTTTATTAGTTGTTATTAATCTCTTACTGTGCCTAATTAATAAACTAAACTTTATCAAAGATGTCTATATAATGCTGGTCCTCCATATCCAAGGATTCTCCATCTGTGGATTCAACCAACTGCAGACTGAAAATATTTGAAACAAAATCTAGCCTGGGCAACAAAGTAAAATCCCTCATCTCTACAAAGATTAGCTGGACATGGTGGCACATGCCGACAGTCCTCACTACTGAGGAGGCTGATGTGGGAGAATTGTTTGAGCCCAGGAGGTTCAGGCTGCAGTGAACCAAGGTTGTACCACTGCACTCCAGAATGGGCCTGTCTCTTAAAAAAGGAAAAAAAAATTATTTGGAAAAAAATAAGTAAAATAACAATACAGCAATAAAAATAATACAAATTAAAAAAAAATACATGTCGGGCATGGTGGCAAATGCTTGTAATCCCAGCGCTTTGGGAGGCCAAGGTGGGCGGATCACCCAAGGTCAGGAGATCAACACCACCCTGGCCAACATGGTGAAACACTGTCTCAACTAAAAATGCAAAACTTAGGCCAGGCGTGGTGGCTCATGCCTATAATCCCAGCACTTTGGGAGGCCGAGGCAGGTGGATCACAAGGTCAAGAGATCGAGACCATCAAGGCCAACATGGTGAAACCCCGTCTCTACTAAAAATACAAAAATTAGCTGGGTGTGATGGTGTGCACCTGTAGTCCCAGCTACTCGGGAGGCTGAGGCAGGAGAATTGCTTGAATCTGAGAGGCAGAGGTTGCAGTGAGCCGAGATTTCACCACTGCACTCCAGCCTGGGTGACAGAGCAAGACTCTATCTCAAAAAAAAAAAAAGAAAATACAAAAATTAGCCAGGCATGGTGACACGTGCCAGTAGACCCAGCTACTGGGGAGGCTGAGGCAGGAGAATTGCTTGAACCCAGGAGGCAGAGGTTGCAGTGAGCCGAGATCGCGCTGTTACACTCCAGCCTGGGCGACAAGAGCAAAACTCTATCTCAAAAAAAAATAATAATAATAAATAATAAATAAAATAAAAAATAAAAATACAGCATAACAACTATTTACAGAACACTTGCATTGTATTAGGTATATATGTATTATAATAGAGGATTTCAAGTAGGATACGTGTAGGTTACATGCAAATAACACGCTGTTCTACAAAAGGGATGTAAGCATCCAAGGATTTTGGTAACACTATTGGGCACTGGACTAAATACATACGTTCATTTATTTCAGAAATTTACATATAATTACTTTAGGGCTGGGCACAATGGCTCACGCCTATAATCCCAGCACTTAGGGAGGCCGAGGCAGGTGGATCACTTGAGGTCAGGAGCTCAAGACCAGCCTGGCCAACAATGGTGAAATCCTATCTCTACTAAAAATACAAAAATTAGCTGGGCATCGTGGCATGCGCCCGTGGTCCCAGCCACTTGGGAGGCTGAGGCACTAGAATTGCTGGAACCTGGGAGGAGGGGGTTGCAGTGAGCGGAGATCACACGACTGCACTCCAGCCTAGGTGACAGAATAAGACTGTCTCAAAAAATAATAATAATTATAACTTTACAGACAAAAGAATTTAATTTCGCCATAGAATATAAATGGTTAATATCAATAATTAACTAAAATTACTCTTTATGATATTTAAGCCTCTGTACAAAGAAGAAACATAACTTATAAATTGCAACCAAAAACACTTCGGCTAAACTCAAACTCATCAGTACCCTTAGACATGAACACAAATGGAGCTATATGAGGCCAAACATCTCAAATTTCAGTGCAGACACACAAACACATTGAAACAAAACAAAGAATTGATCCTACAATACACAGGACATTTTACTTATCTGACCAAAGAGCAACTAGGATTACCTTGATAAAAGTCCTCTTCATCTTCTTCACGTTGATAGGTCTGTTCTTGGATTGGATTCTTCCTATAATTCCGGCCATCAATTCTTATAAGCTGTGGACGCAGAACTTCCATGACACTTTCTCCAAATAATATTCCAGTGACGTTCTGAAAAATATAATTAACGTCTTACCTTTCTTAGTGATAATTAAAGTCCTAACTCTAGTGACTAGAGATAGTCCTATCTCTAGTGTATTACATAGGTCTGAATTGGGCATCAGATCACAGTGTCTCTTAAACAAAAAAGGCCCTGTTTCCCATTGGATTTCCCATCTGTAAACTAGTTTATGTCAATTGCTGCATTTTTTTTTACCACACTGGCTCACTCCAGACAACAAAGTAATGTGTAAAGTATTTATCACCCTCCAAAATAGAGATTAAAAGGCATACACTCTAAAAAAAGAAAAAAAAGAAGGGAGGAAGGGAGGGAGGGCTGGCCAGGAACAGTGGCTCACACCTGTAATCCTAGCATTTTGAGAGGCCAAGGTGGGAGGATTGCTTGAGGCTGGAAATCAAGACCAGCCTCTAAAAAAAGAAAAAGAGAAAAGGGCCAGGCATGGTGGCTCACTCCTGTAATCCCAGCACTTTGGGAAGCCAAGGAAGGAGGACTGCTTGAGCTCAAGAGTTTGAAACTAGCCTGGGCACATGGCAAAACCCTGTCTCTCTTAAAAAAAAAAAAAAAAAAGCGGGGGGTGGGGGGGGCCAGGCATGGTGGCTCACGCCTGTAATCCCAGCATTTCGGGAGGCTGAGGCAGGTGGATCACCTGAGGTCAGCCTGGCCAGCATGGAGAAACCCCGCCTCTACTAAAATACAAAAAATTAGTCAGGCGTGGTGGCACATGCCTGTAATACCAGCTACTCAGGAGGCTGAGGCAGGAGAATTGCTTGAACCTGGGAGGCAGAGAATGCGGTGAGCCAAGATCACACCACTGCACTCCAGCCTGGGCAACAAGAGCAAAGCTCCGTTTCAAAAAAAAAAAAAAAAAAAGGGAGGAAAGAAAAAGAGAGAAAAGAAAAAGGCATTATAAATGCCTATATATAAACACAGCCTGTTCATGACTTTGAAAGAGAGAATAAAGGTCTCTTTATTACTTCAACCTAGTTAGTAAAATGCAAATTTCAGTGGTTATCTAACCATGTGCACAATATCTCATTTTTTTTTCCCCCAGACGGTGTCTCATTCTTGTTGCCCAGGCTGGAGGGCAATGGCGTGATCTCTGCTCCCTGCAACCTCTGGCTCCCAGGTTCAAGAGATTCTCCTGCCTCAGCCTTCCCAGTAGTTGGAATTACAGGTGCCCACCACCACACCCAGCTAATTTTTTGTATTTTTAGTAGAGACGGGGTTTCACCATGTTGGGCAGGCTGGTCTTGAACTCCTGACCTCAGGGGATCCACCTGCCTTGGCCCCCCCCAAAGTGCTGGGATTACAGGCATGAGCCACCACATTGGGCACACTCTATCTAGCAAGACAATTAAGACAATGAGGGATATTTAATAAATTTAACCACCCAGAAAAAAAAAATACCCCTAAGTACTTTTAGAGATGCTAGACATTCATACCAATCGGCTCCAGTTGCCTGTCAAAGCACAGTTAAAATAACAACTTAACCAATACGGTTTTCAGATCAACATATTGCTCATGGAAGGAATCCAATTTCTACAGGCCACTGCCCAACAAAATGCACATCACTCACTGAGAAACCAAGCTTCTGGTCACACCACTTAATGAATCAATAATTTAGAAAAACAAGGTTCTTATAGGCTAGCTGAGGTTAAATTGAACCAATATTCCTATCACGTACAGCTTGAAGCCCAAACAGTCTTGAGGCCCAAAATACTGAAGAGTTCCAAAGAAAACAAGTCAATCCTTAATAAATACACTAACGTTCAGTCCAACCCTCAGCAAATAAGTCACTTTAATGGATGGTTTGGGCCGGGTGCGGTGGCTCACATCTGTAATCCCTGCACTTTGGGAGGCCGAGGCGGGCAGATCACCTGAGATTGGGAGTTCGAGACCAGTCTTGCCAACACGGTGAAGCCCCGTTGCTACTAAAAATACAAAAAGTAGTCGGGCGTGGTGGCTGGCGCCTGTAATCCCAACTACTCGGGAGTCTTAGAGGTGGAAGTTGCAGTGAGCTGAGATGGCGCCAGTCCACTCCAGCCTGGGCAACAGAACAAGACTCCCTCTCCAAAAAAAAAATAAATGTTTCAAAATAGTAATAATTGATGGTTTTTGTGCTTACAGAACCAAGAAGAGGTTTCGTGAAAAATAACACAGAAGGTAAACCGACAGGGATGGAGGAAAAGGGCACATAATTAGCAATAGTCGATGACATCACACCCCAGTGGCCTATTCCCCGAGGCCTCTAAAATTCTCAACAACAAAACACTTGCAAGGGGAAAGCTAAAAAAAAAGTTTCCCACAAAAACAGACTAAGGTGAAGGTCGGGACCTCAGACCACAAGTTCCAGAAGAACAGGTAGTTGTCCGGAAGACAGCAAAAGCAGCAGCTACCTGCCCTGCATGGCCCTGGGCCTAGACTGCTCGGAAGCAAAGAGGGGAATAACCAACTTAACGCTGCTTCGAGGTGGTTTGGAGAGGAAGAGGAAAGCTGTGTCTTCCTGCAATACCGTGAGGGAAGCCGAGGCCCCGAATCATCAAAGAGATGGAGAAAAGTACTAGACGTACAGGGAGAAAAGGCGAAGGAGCCGGAAGTCCTCTCCCGGAGCGCGTTCCCTACTTCCCTACTCGCGTCTCCGCCCTGGTCACGCCCACCACGGCACGGACGCGCGCACGCTGCCGGCTCCCATTGTGAGGGCGCGAGCACGCCGCTGTCCTCGTCCTGGTGTGCGCGGCAGCTCCGGCAGACCCTGGGGGCGGGGCTGTAGGGGAAAGTGCTAAAGCCGCTGAGGTAAGAAGCCGAGGGCTCAAGGGCCTCGGGAGCTTGGTGAAAAGGGAGTTAACCCCTAGGATCCTACCTGCAGGGACTAGGAAAATGGAGAAGGTAGGTGGAGAAGCAGGAGACTGATGTAGCAGACGTGCGAAAGGAAACTTCCCCAGGCCGGGTTGGACTGACTGCGCATGCGGGCCGAGGGTTGGAGCCTGCGCAGTGGCACAGCGCCGATGGCGTCGTTTCCTGGGGACCCAGCTGGGTGGGTGGCGTGGCTAGGAGTTAGCTTGGGAGCCGCTGGTGTTCTCACCGCTCCCTCTCCAGCCCCTTTCTCTCCACTTCCCAACCCCCAGTTACAGCTTTGGCTTCTATTTGGTTTGGGTTGTAATCCAGCTGTAAGTGGAACGATTTGTTGATGGAATTTAATGATTGCTTGCAATTTGTCTTTGTACTAGGGTAGGAACTTTTAAGGAATTACTCTTTTTAAGAAAATAGGCATATATCTGTTAGAAAGGAAAGGAATTTATGAATGCGAGGTCATCCCTGCCGTACATGAAGTAAATGTTTAAGCATCTCAGCTCGGACACAGCAATCTGTGTCCAAAAAGCATCATTACTCTCCTGTGAGGATCTCCACTGCTAGCCCCAACCACCCTGACAGGGCCAAGTCCCAGGATACTTCATCATCAGTATTTACTCAACAAAATTTTACTGAGCACCTCCGGTGAGCCTGGCAAACTAGTTGAAGGTAGAATTGTGCGAATACATCTGCCCAATGAGAAAAAAAAAAAACTTAATGGACCAGTACTGTAGACACCGCGCTTCTCTATCTCCTGCTTGACCTTTGCTGAGGTGCTCGCCCTGCGCTCTGTCATTTGTTCATCATTCATTCGTCTGAAATTCTCTGGACTGGAAGCACAATGGAAACACTGTGACCCAGGTTCTGTGCTCAGCATTGAGGGTAGAAAGACCTCGAAGGTAGCAGGATATTTCTTAAGATCATGAACCTTAAAATGAAAGTGTAAAGTGCCTAGTAGAAGGCATTGGCCTTCCTCCTGAGCAGATTCTTTCCCCTCTGGGAGCTTGCTGACTGTGTTAGATGGAGAGAATTAAAACTTTTTCCATGAAGTTTTTTTCATAGTAAGTATGAAAAACTGGGATCTGCATAGGAAAAGCTCAGGAGTAACTCTCCGTTAATTATTTTGAATAGCTAAGATTTATGAAGTGTTTACTAAGCCTGTAACTGTTCCAAGTGTTTTACGTGTATTAACTAATCTTTGTCACACCTGTGTGAGGTAGCTGCCACTATTACAGGTTGAGTATCCCTAATCCAGAAATCCAAAATGCTCCAAAATTTAAAACTTCTTGAGCACTGAGGGGATGGTCAAAGGAAATGCTAATTGGAGCATTTTAAATTTCAGAATTTCGGATTTGGGAAGCTTAATCATTAAGTGTAATGCAAATATCCCAAAACCTGAAAGAAATCCAAAATACTTCCAGTCCCAAGCATTTCAGCCTGTTTCCCATTTTGCAGATAAGACAACCAAGGAACAAAAATATTAAATATGCTGGAGGTTGCAGTTTTTTGAACTTTTGCCGTCAGTCCTTGGCGATGACCTTGAGCAGTAGGATATAAATTACTCCCACATGGTTAGCGTTCCAGTAATGGAAGACTAGGCATAAATGCGTTAAATTATTTGTCCACAGTCATGCAGCAAGTAAGTAGCAAAACCAGAAGTCAGGCAGAGAGGCTTCATAGTCTTACCCGCTATGCGGCTTTACCTTGCACATGACAAATGACATGCCAACAAGCCATTGCTTCAAAATGTCACAGCAGATAAGCTAAAATTGTCTCTATACCTCAGTTTTATTTTTTCATGTATAAAATGAGGAAGTTGGATTAGATGACCTTTAAGGAATCTGTGGATCCTGAATGAATTGAAATATTCAATTCATTCAGCAAGCATTTACTGAAATGAACAGCTACTTCCTCACTATAGGCCAGGTGTTATGTTTGGTTCTGGTGATCACTTAGTGCCTTCCTTGAGAGCAGTTACAATCTCTAGGGTGTGTTAGTTTTGCTTTACTCTCATTTACCACTCGCTGGTAGTATTCACAATTTAACCTACATCTTTAGAGCTAGAAAATACTTCGATATATCCTTCCACCTCAGCAGAAAACTACTTAAAGTTAGCTTTGTCCTAATTCTGTGCTCCAGTTTTTAATCCTGGCTGTTTTGTGTATGGAATGATAGTAGTTCTGAGAGTTGGAAAGAAAACAGGATGAAAGGGAATTCCTTTGATTATATTCAGCTTAGAAGTCACACTGTGGCTTAACTTTTGAAGCTGTCATCACTCTGGCAGTTGCTTGGGTGCGCTGCCGAGCAACTGACTTCAAAATAGGAAGTATAAAGCATTTGCAACTGAATAGAGCATTTATCTGGGTGTAGGAAAAAGAGAGTTTTAAATCTTAGGTGACATATATAAAGAGTTCACAGTGGGTTCTACTCTGAACTGATGGGAAAGACTGAGCTACTCTCCAAAAGATGGCTAAGTTGTCTGTATACTTTATGTGAATCACACCAGGAATTCACTTAAAGATTTGGGCCTGATCCATTACTGCTTAAGTTCAAAAACAATTCAAAAACTTGTCAGGCTATATTTTGACCCACTGTACAGCTAGTGCTCGACTTAACCATGATTGGTTCCGACAGACCTATCGTAACACGATTTGGTCGTAAGTTGAGTAGGCTATATGTACAGTACTGTAAAATGATATTATAAAAATCTTTGTCATATTTCATCATAATTTTCTTTCATTATTGTTATATATCATAATTTTCTTTGTTCATTTTATGCCATTTGTATCATCTCTACACCATTTTGTTTCTTATTTTTACATTCGTCAGGTTTAATTAAAACACTGCATTACCAGTACAACTCGTTTAATATTTGCAAAACATAGAAAATTACAAAATACAGGTGCATACAAAAATTCAAAATACAGGTGTAAAAAATACCATAGGAAACATTTTCCCAATTGCAAAACATATCAAAATACATAAACATGTACGAAACATTTTATTGGCCGCGGGTGCTTGGCTGCGGATCGTTGATGTCGTCATCTGAGGCAGCAGTTGGGGTGACCGAAGTTAGTTTTTTCATAAACATGGTGAGCTTTGTCTGAATTGTATGTTTCTTTTTTTCTTCATAAATTTCACGATACGGATGAAACACATCGTGCGCCATCCGTTCAATCCTTGCAACTCGTTTGATGTTTGGGTCCATTGCTTCGAAATGTATGAGAAGTTTATTGGGAGGGGTTTGATGAAAAATATCCAAGACACAAAACACAAATTGCTGTACCGAGTCTGGGATAATAGTTGAAATGGTGCACGTGGAGATGGTAGTGCTGCCAGAAGCTGGTCCGCACTGTCGTACGCCCCGCTGGGCAACGTTTGCGCTGCCAGACGCGGAGCAGATTGTGGTCGTAAAATCGAATGGTCGTAAGTTGCATAGGTCGTTAAGTCGATCGATAACCTGTAGTCCAGAAGATTGGATATGAATCTGACTCCAAAAATTGCTGCCTCTGTGGATATGAGTACAATTTGGAAAGTTAGCAGAGCTCAGAGAAAAAAGGAAACGTGATCTAATATCAAGATTGAAAATGTCTGCTGAACAGAGTGGCTCAGGCCTGTAATCCCAGCATTTAGGGAGGCTGAGGCAGAGGATCGCTTGAGCCCAGGAATTGGAGACCAGCCTGAGGAATGTAGTGAAACTTCATTTCTACAAAAAATAAAATTAGTGGGGTGTGGTGGCACACACCTCTAGTCCCAGCTATTTGGGAGGCTGAGGTAAGAGGATAACTTGCACTCAGGAGGTCAAGGCTGCAGTTAGCCAAGATCATGCCACTGCATTCCAGCCTGGGAAACATAGCAAGACTCTGTCTTCGAAAAAAGAAAACGTCATTAATCAATTTGCATTTTTGCTGACAGTCTAGTTATAGTAGTTGCTTTACCGTTCCCATATCCCACTTCACTATTAATCAGTGTTACTTGTAATGAAATCAGAAACCAAACTCTGCTTCTCTAACAGCCTTAAATCATCATCACAAAATTAAGCAAACAGAGCAGCCAATGTTTTGAGACATACTATATCATTTTCATTACTAGAAAAGTGGATTTTATATATATAAATATTTATATTTATATTTTATTCCCTCACTTTCTTCTGTTTTCGAAAAACATGGCCAGGTGCAGTGCAGCACTTTGGGAGGCCGAGGTGGACAGATCACCTGAGGTTGGGAGTTCAAGACCAGCCTGGCCAACATGGAGAAACCCCATCTCTACTAAAAATACAAAATTAGGCCGGGCGCGGTGGCTCAAGCCTGTAATCCCAGCACTTTGGGAGGCTGAGGCAGGTGGATCACGAGGTCAAGAGATCGAGACCATCCTGGTCAACATGGTGAAACCCCGTCTCTACTAAAAATACAAAAAATTAGCTGGGCATGGTGGTGCGTGCCTGTAATCCCAGCTACTCAGGAAGCTGAGGCAGGAGAATTGCCTGAACCCAGGAGGCGGAGGTTGCGGTGAGCCGAGATCGCGCCATTGCACTCCAGCCTGGGTAACAAGAGCGAAACTCCGTCTCAAAAAAAAAAAATACAAAATTAGCTGGACGTGGTGGCGCATGCCTATAATCCCAGCTACTCAGGAGGCTGAGGCAGGAGAATCACTTGAACCCGGAAGGCAGAGTTTGCAAAGAGCTAACATGGCACCATTGCACTCCAGCCTGGGCAACAAAAGTGAAACTCCGTCTCAAAAAAAAAAAAAAGAAAGAAAAGTTTCAGACAGGCATGGTAGGTCACATCTATAATCCCAATACTTTGGGTGGCCAAGATGGGAGGATTGCTTGAGCCCAGGAGTTCCAGACAAGTCTGGAGACAACATGATAAGAAGTTGTCTCTACCAAAAGTAAAAAAAAAAAATTTTACTGGGCATAGTGGCATGCACCTGTGGTCCCAGCTACTTGGGAGGTTGAGAGGTTGGAGTATTGCTTCAGCCTAGGAGGTTGAGGCTGCAATGAGCCATGATCAGGCCACTGAACTTCAGCGGTGGGTGACAGAGTGAGAGCCTCCCTAGAAAAAATAAATATATTTCAACTTTTTATAATAAATATGTTCATGTTCCAACTAACAATACAAAATGCGC